CGGTCGACGGCTATATTTTATGGGTATCTAGTCCGGTCTTGGGCCTAACCTTGTTGTTGGCTTTCAAAATATTATAAAACAAGAGAAGAGACAACGTCGCAGATGCTTCCGTCGCGTCGGTGCTCTACGTGCCCGTCGACACGCATACACTAAAATATTATGTTATACTATTATGTGAATACGGAAAATCGTTTGATCTTTTTTTTTCTTTTGTAATATTATTTTCTCTGGGCTTTGTCCAGCACCACGACCTTTGCTTGTGATTAGAAAGGAGAGCTGGGTAAGGGGCATCCTATAGTATTGCGAGTATAGGTCTACATGTACAAAATTGAGCTCCCATAAGTTCATCGGTTGTGTGACGTACATCAGGTACACATGATTAATGGTTATCAGTTATAATGATATAGTGGCTATTCTACTTTGCACAGTTATCCCCTCGTGCTTTATCTGCTTATCGCATAATGACTGTAAACGGTGAAAGAGTATTGCGGTGAAAGCAGTGTTGGAAAAGAAAATAATAATACGGAAAAAAGGAGAAAGGAGTGGCTAAACTTCAAAAGATGATAATAACGCTTTAGAAAAATAATATAGCCGCATCGACGTCATTTGTTTGGCTTTGACGCGAACCTGAAAAGGTATTGACTTTACAATGATGTGCTTTTTTATAATCTGTCTGTACGCATTATATCTCTGAAACAATGGACCGCGTTATTTAACTTAATTTTTCTTGCTTTTTTTTTGTTGGGGCAGAAGAAATCGTATCATTTTCAAACTTTCTCGAATAACATTACTTTATTTTACTTAATGCGCCATCTTTTCCAATTCGACTTGACATTTTTAAGTAGTTACACTTTTATATCAAAATCAAATAAACATACAATACACGCCTTATAATTTCGTGTATAATGTAACCGACTAATTGGACATTTTAGTGTCTCCTTACCTTACCTAACCTAACCTGACTAAAGGCTAAATCCTTTACCTAATAGATACATCCTTCCCGTGTAGAAGACATCACTTGTTTGAAAGATTTAGAATGTCACATTTATTATTTTCATATGTGTTTTTAGTAGTAACTAGAAAGTTTCTACCATCTATTAGAATCGTACATTTACAAGTTTTTGTAAGTTCAATAATAATGTTTACTAGTACACTAGTTCATTCAGTTGTGCGTTGTTATGACTGGGCTATAATTTATTGCATTTGTGTCCTCTAAGAAAGTACACATAAACGTATTATATTGTATCATCCTATTTCATAAATACATAGTATATATATAAATACGGAGTATAAAAAAAAATAATTGCAATTAAAGAAAATATAAACGCAATTTACAGTGTTATAAAACTATATAATAAATTAAAATGGTATTGATCAATTCGGTTTTTTTTATAACTAATTAATATATAATAAAAAAACACATTTGTTATATTTAATAGACTAATAACGCTGTGATCGATTTATTGTATAATCAACATCAATTAGACCGTTAATAACAATGTCTTATAGCCATTATATATTATGTTTACCATTATCAGCGTTAATTCAAATATTACGAATTTGTTCGTACAATATTATATAGAAGGTTATGCGTAAAAAGTAACATTCGTTTAGAACTAATGGGTTTAATCCAATACCCAGAATAAGTTGTTCATAGTAGCTGGATGGATGACCACCATTCATGCCAATAACAATTAGGTAAAGGTAGGTGGCAGGTATACTAGTGTAATAATTAGAAGAAAAAATACGCAATTCAATTAAAATTTTTCCTTTCAATTTTTGTCAAAACTGTATGGAAAATTATAAAACAAATACTATATGCGTGTTAAAAAAAAACTTGTTAATAAAAATTTCAAGCTAACATTATTGTATCTTATGTGCTGCGATGAAATTCAGGTTTAACTTGGCAGTAGACTGTTTATAGTATTTGACACTAGACAACACAATAATATTACCTATGCGTATTAACGCCACGTGCTTGTTAATACGGTCACATTTTTAACGATTTTCCTTCTACCAACTCTTAACCATCAAACAATCATCGTGCGTAATTGTCATTATCCGCCAATAATAATTATTAAGTGCCACTCTAGATTAAATTCGACTTATCGCTTTTGAACGAATTATTATCTTTGGTCAGGGTTTTTTTTTCTTCAATCAATCAATGTAACGGTCTTTTTTATTGTTATTACTACTATTATTATTGCCATGATAATTTTTTATTCGGTCATTACATTTTTTTTTTGCCAATTCATATCCTCTAATATTACTGATTGTACATGCACAGTAGTAATAACTATTAGGCATAGTATTTTAAATGTTGATTAAAACACGATGTTCATCTCTGTATGAGCCGCACAACAAGTGTGTTGGTCGCGCTTGTCTAGGGTTCAAGGCGTTGTTGCTTTTATTTGTTATTGATTTTAACGGTGTAGCACTAACCAACATAATAACAATAATAATGCATTATAGTTGTGAACGAATACAATGGAAGTCCAACGACTATTGCTTACTATGATACGCGGCGGCTACTTGATAAATTGTTTTGACGTGCTCGGCAAACGATGATCTAATCGATTTTTATAACACGAACGCCGAAATGGGTCAGTTTCATTGACTAACTGCTGTTTATGCTTTCCCTGTCTTCGTGTATAGATGAAAATTCTCACACATATAAAGTCCAATAAGTCATTGCACATATGTGAACGCGGATAACAATAACATACGATAAGTCTCCCCTACATATCATATTATGGTGTAAGCATGTGTGATATACATCCAATGAAAACCTATGTGTTTTTTGGTGTTTGGGTTACCATTAGTAGTGCTGTCGAATGCGGTGTTATTTTTTATTAAAAGCTTTTACTGTAAAACATTACAGCTCAACCGTTGTGGCAAAAATAATAACAATATAATTGTACAATGTTAACCGTATAACTAATTTAGCAGAGTAAGACTTAAATACTAAAAACGATATCATGAATTTGAATAATTGAACTAATAATTACAAAGCCAGTAGAAGAAATAAAATGTACAACGGGAGAAGGAGAGGTAAGTCCACGGAGGGAAAGATGTTTGAAGAGAATAATTGTATTATTTAAAAGAGCTGAACATCAATCACAAGGTGCCTCTTCATCGTGCAAGGTGCATAGAAGTTGTTGAAAATGCCCACGTGACCAGGGCACCATAATAATTCCACCATAATATTAAACTGTTCAAAGAGAAAGAGAGATAATTTGATTTGCAGAACGAGTGAAGAAGTGCTGGATTTGAAGAAATTAGAACGTGGAAGCGAAATAGAAGAAAAGGAACCGGATACAATAAAAAATGTATTAAGCTCGGCAATTGTATGAACGACAGCGATGATAGCGTGCCATTTTGTGGTAAGAGAACAGGACTGAGAAGGAAGAGCGGCAGCAAATGTAATGTTTAGGCTATGAATAAAATAAGAGAAACCGGCGCAATTTGAGGATATTGACCCATCAGTAAAGATAAGGCAATAGTCTGGAAATTGGGTTTTAACAAGCCCATATAAATAGGCTATTAACAAAGTGATTTGGCATTATTTGTAATTGAGATTGAAATGAAAATTATATTATTTGTAGTAAAACTGGAAAGACGTGGGCATGCGGTGTTATTAAATTTAAATTATCAAAATTATATTATGTCGTTGACCCGCCAGTCACAAATCCACTGAAACACAGTTCATGACTAGGAGTAATTTGCAAATGTGCTTTAATTAGACCCTCAAAATACAGTCAAGTTGAATCACGCAGTGAGTATTTTATTCGAGAAAAATGTCACATTATAATAATGTATTATATTATTTCGTCGACTGACTTTGGTAAACACATTTTTGATAGGAAAAATTATGATTAATAGTAATAATAAGTTTTACTCTAGAGAAATACCTGCGTGTGATGGTGAGATAGTTTAAGACTGATTTAGTTAGGTTGGGGTTTTTGACCTCTTAAGTTTCAACATACAAAGAACAGAAGAAAAAAAATAATAAGAGGTTTGAAATCAATGAAAGTATTAAAATAACTATGATAATAATTTTGTAGATTTCGTGTAATCTATAAAAAATCTGTTTTCAAATCATCATTTTTTTTTGGCGGCTTTCGGTTATTATTTTCAATTCGTAATGTGCTAGTTTTTCGAAATGCGAACTTGGGTTTCGATGAATCTGTAGTTGGTTTTTGGCAAAGGCGTTTGAAGAATTAGGGCGCATTTTTCCATGATTTTTTTAGTAAGTAATTAGTGTATGGTCCACGGCCGTGTGTCATTTAACAACTGCGGATCTTCAATCTTAGGTCGGTCTAGTCCGGATTCTCAAAGATTAACCGTCACGTCTTTTTCCATTGAGCATTTATCGTTGGCTACACACGTTTTGGCACTGCACCCATTACCACGTACAGCTGCAGTAGGTATTTTTAAAGTTATGATTTATTCTTATACAAAACACAAATATTTTCGAATGACTAAACGACAGCGCAAATCATTATCCCTCTACTTTTTTGAAAAATATCTCTTGTGTACATTTCATGCGGTGTAATACATTCCTTTACTATATAGCATCCAGTGTTGGCGAAGGCCTTTCCATATAAGCCAGTTTATTAAGGAACTGTTATTTATTGCGCAAATAATAAAAGCTCTCACATTTCTTATGGCACTCATTAGAATATACCAAAAATAAAAACGACAGATCTTTAATCAAATATTTTCTTTTTAATGTTTAAAAAAAAAAGAAAAGATTTTGTTAATAATTATAGAGATAGGAAACAACCCTCGATAAAGTTGTACATATTGTGTATAATATCTACATATCATGTATGGCTCTCGTGTATCCCGCGGCGGTGTGACTCAATGTCGAGGTTGACGGTTCGCTTGCGTTTTAAAAAAAAAAAAGAGAGGGACGTTACGCCCACTCGTGTATTAAACTTACATATTACAAGTATATGCATATAAGTATTATTATTGTTATCATATATTATATATAGGTAATATATAATTTACTTAAACACGATGATGATGGACGCACGGTCGGCCGTTAATGGGAGGTGGTGGTAGTCCGTTGAGAATACTCACGCCCGTGATGGTGCATTGTTCAATGGGACAAACTTTTAGTATGGGTCACCAGCGGTACCGTCGAACCAAATATCGCCATAGCAACATCAACAACAACAACGATCACCCAGGTATATTTTGATAACATAAAATTGATAATAATAAGTTACAAATTATGATTGTGTTACACCGGTCCGTACTCGGCTATGATACGCTTTGAATGTATAGCTTTTAGTATAGTTGATTTATTATGAAATAACTAAATATTCGGTAAAAAAAAAAAAAAAAAATGGAAAAAGTGCATTTGCTTGACCGCATCCTAATCATACAAATTGCATGGCCTGGTCGCGAACCGTCAACGTGGGTGTTGGCTTGTGTGTGAATGTTTAGTTGTAGTATTGGTGAATATGTTTAAATTTTTTATCACAAACCTGTGTATAGAATCACAGCTATCAAGTCAGTAGTGACGTTAGTTAGTGGCTTAACTGTGTAAGTACACTCTACAGGGCGTTGTTGAAAACTGGTTATAATTTCGGGGATGATTCTTTTAGATATATCCTATGCCGGATGTGGTACATTATCTGAAGAGAGTTACTGAAAAATATTTTCTCACTAATACGGTTATATTTCTAGTAATAACGCGGCCGTCAGGTAAGGAACGCGAAAAGGAATTTTTAATAGGTATAGCCGTTTTCCGTTGCAGCAATGTTTGTCGCACATCTTAATTAAATAGTTCATATCCGGACGGTCTATCGAGAAGGTATAATCGTTTTTGTGGTTTAATATGGGTTCACATATTTTGACCTTTTCGTCCCAGTGTTGTACTTTATTATAACGTTACCAAAACCGTTACCGTAAATCTTTTTGTGTGTCGAGTGAGTGGTGTAGTATGTAGAAAAATACTATTAATCGCCGCATGATGATGATGATGATGATGATGTAGGCATGACCTATATTTGGCGTGGAAAAAACATCTCATCGTTTACCTACCTGATTATGATGTTGTTGTAGTGTGTAAAAAATGTTTTTCAAAAATGGCGGGCTAGCTCCCAATTACGTATAGGTACCAAAATGTACAATTGGAAATGGCGCAATGCCGCGACGTTAACGACACACACACCCATTGGGTGGTTCCGTGTACGAACTCTGATGAACTCTGATGGTTTTAACGTGTCTTTTTTTTTCATCCAATCAGGGTTACAGTCCAGAAGCAGCGGCGGCGGCGGCGGCGGTGGAGACGACCTGCGAATGACTGCCGAGACTTGTGGCGGAGGAGACCTGATCCGGATCACCGCTTTATCCTCGACGGCCTTGCCGGGACCACAACCGCCTTCGTCCGCCAAAAACCACCAACACTATGATCCAGAGTACGCGAAAATCGAAGCGTGGCTGGACGAACACCGAGACTTTGCCCACGATTACTTCCTCAGGTGAACGGCCCCAACTCCAACACCGATATATTTATTTTAAATTAGCCGATCAATTCGGACCGCGATGCCCGTCGTGTTATGCATGACCATTTGTAGCGATAGCGAAAACTCCTCCCCTCGATTGGTTTTTAATGCTAAAAAAAAAACGCCCATGTTTATTCCCTTGCAAATGGTGATGCGAACGATCCGACTAGGCAATTGTGTTTGATTCGTTAATTGAAACAACCATTCGAAGTGGTTGCACACAACACTACTTTTAAAGAGGCGTAAACGCCAAGAGTATAACAAAAAAAACCGCGTTACCGACATTTTTTAGCTTGTTTTTGGGGAAGCCTACTCTAAGACATGTCCATGTTGCGTAACTATCTAAGAGGGTGTTTTGGTTTTAAGATATTTGTATTGTTGGTATTTTGGTCGTCCAACTCGAGTGCTCGGTATATTAGGCACCTACTATTAACCTGATCTATAGGCCAGCTGTTGGCCAACCCACTTAAACACCACCGACCGGCGTCGACAATTATTTAGGAAATCTTTGTCTGCTTAAGCGACCCGTGTGCTATTTTTAACTTGCAAATTGCCTACTGAGTTGTGTTTTATTTTCCGTCCAATTACCACCGCCGCAGTCCGACAATATAAAAAAAATTATATACCTTTCGACATAGGTACGCCGCAATAATTTCATTTTTTTTCTGTTCGTCACTCATCCACCGTGAATAGTTTATGACCACAGACGGGCACTCAGGGGGGATAAAAATATGCAATTTACTCACGGCCTAATATTGGTAATTACAGCAGGTTGTAAGAACCGTTAGCCGCCGTATATAATATACTTTTATTTTATTTTAATAATCGTGTTTGAAGTATAGATGCCGCATCGAACGGCTTTTAAAATATTCTTTGTGAAATAAAAAAAAAAAAATCATAAATTACTCGCGTTGCGTTTTTTTACTATAGTTCCTATCCGTAGCTTTTGCATAATTGTATGTTTGTAAGTACACTGCGCAAATGATATGCAAAACATACTGCAGTTTTGGAATCGATCAATATGTATCCGCTTTTTCGCATATACCTGGGACGGTTAAGACAAAAATCATTTAAACAACCCTTTTCGTTGGCTTATATAGGTCTGGTCTGATCGTTGTGACAGTAAGAAACATTTGTGGTTTCCTTCAAACAAACCCCTAGGGGCGTCTTCCGTTTGTGGCAGTTAACTGTTTTCCTATAACAAATGTATACAACACAGCAAGAACTCGATTTGTAGACAAGCCGTAGAATTGACCCTTCCCTATCCCTGTTCCTCCTCTGGGGGTGTAAGGGGCGATATTAAACGGCTTTATTAATATGGACTTGGATGGATTAAGATACTATTATTATGGACTAGGAAAAGAGGTGATTGTATCTCCCACCCCTCAAAAAAAAAAAGCATCGAATAGTTTTAGGAATTGATCCTACTATTTGATGGCCGATGTTAAAAAAATTACTTGTCCTATTTTTTCTTCTTTCTTTTACCTCAGCTGCGGCGGGTATACCTGTATACAATAGGGCTGTGGTATAATGTAATGAAGAACCGACACACGAAGCTAATGGTGAGACCGTGAATACGATTTCTTTATATGTTCGTTGGCGCATCGTGGCCGATTCCAAGAACTTTGCTTTCTACAAAATATTTTTTCTTTACTTGAGGATTATATTATTATTATTATTATTTGTACAAAACGCACACGAGTCAGTGCTCCCGTATCTTTTTACTTTTTTTTATTTAAGGACGTCGACTAGTGCGCACGTCTTAATTGACCGCTGCTACGATTAAAATTAATGCAATAACAACAATAATAATATTAATAATGATATATGTATACACATGTCATTACTGTATATCGGTAGTATAATAATTTCCTAGTAGTATAAAATGTAAAGCAATTCGTTGGCCGCACTTTGAAAAGATTAGAATTCTCGAAACTAATTTTATTATTATAATGCACTTATATTATAATATATAGTTACACGACCTTATTTCATGTGGATTATTTATTTAAGTTACATTTAGTCATTATCCAGTTATACCAATTATCTAATTATGCTGATTTAACAAAATATTAAATAATAAATTCCCATCGACTAATTTTTAGGTACATATTGTAACGGATTAAGCTTATAAATTGTAAATAAACTTGAAGTAATGTGTTTAAAAAAAAAATTTATATTTTTATATGAACGGCCGCTACAGCTCGAATTGTTTTTCTTTATACCAAATGCAGTAAGCTCTCGAGACAGATTTTTAGAGCCAATATTTTTGGTTTTTAATTCAGTTATCGATAAATAACTGAATTAAATTACACATTAGTGTAATTTACATAAAATAATGTATATGGGGCCGAGAACAGGGTTGGCATGTAAAAAATATTTTGTTTAAAATGGACATTTTAACATGTTTTACATAATAAAAAAAGAACCCCTGTTGTTTTTATTATTTAAGAAAAACAATTAAATTTGCCAACCCAGGGCTGTAAACATATTTTTTACTCTATAACTTTGTTTATCATTTTTTTTTGACAAGTAACTGATAAAACTACCGTTCAAAAATTAAATACTATTTTGCAGAGTTCCCTAACGTAACGAAAATGATGAACGGTTAAAATGAAAACGTTCAGTTCACAAGTTGATAATAAACCAAACGTAACATACTACAATTTTTGTTCAACGATTTTACGTTCATTTGAACGTCATGTGTTTAAAATATACATATATAATGTATTTAAATGTCCAAAAACCGTTTCCCTGAACTGAACGCAATAAAATGATGCGTTCATTGAACTTTTAAACCTATAACGTGATATGATTTGAAACCCGCTACCTTGAACTGAACGTAAAAAAGTGATTTGTTCATTAAATTTTTGCATATAAACGTTATAGATTCGTTCATTTTTTTTAAAAATTTAACCTTTAACTTTTTTTATTTGTTTATAAATTTAACAACTAACACATTTGTCCAAAAAGGAAAAGTTATGTTTTAAACTTTTTTTTTTTACAAAATACAATTTGTTAAAAACTTTTATATATTTTGGAACTTTTATTTAAAAGCAGTTTCGTGTAACTTGTAATATAAGTTCCATGACAACGATATACGATACTTATCATACTTACTAAACTTACGAAACATATAATAATGACAAATAATTTATTTCATAGATATATATAACTTGTTATCGAAAACGGCATGTCGTATATAAAGCCGATGCTTAATTATTCAATAAAAAATAAATAAATCTTACAGAAATAGTTATTCTATAAAAAAATATACAGAAATTAATAATTAACAAAAAAAAAGTTGTCAATACCTTGAATGTTAATGCTAATACCACGATGCTTTACTTTTTATTTGGATAAAAAAAAAACCGATTTTACCATAGTATTTTTAAGTAGACTAGGACGTTGGTCGTTCAATATACATTTCCGCCGAGGAACTGATTAGACAATTATTGTCTACGCTAATGTCAATCAAGTCATTTTTTATGGAACTTTTATGTCACAAGTTTTAACAATAACTTCTGTAGTAAAATTTTTAACAGGGATTAACAAAAAAACAATTTTTTTTTAATTATGACTTATTTTTGGAAAATTGATTAATTATTGAATCATAAATAAATAAATAAGTTGTTAGAATGAAGGTTAGGTTCAAAACAAAGTTATTTGTATGAACGAATCTTAAACGTTTATTTGCAAAAGTTCAATGAACAAATGGTTTGTATTAGTTTAGTTAAGTGTTACGGCATTTGAACGTTAAAACATATATCGTTATAGTTATAAAAGTTCAATGAACGTATCATGTTCTTGTATTTAGGTCAAGGTAATAGTTTTTAAACGTTAAAATGTATTACGCGTAACCGTTCAGTAACGTGTAACCGAACTTATCATTTTATATTTCTTATGATATGACTTTAAATGTTTGCCAACAAATGTATGAATGTAACACATAATTAACGGTTATCAGAACTCTAGTATTTTGTCTTTACACATTTTCAACGCTTTCGACAGGAGCTGATGAACATAAATTCGTGTTGAATCGTTTGAATATATTTTGAATTTGAATATTTATCCAAAAAATCGTTGTTAACGTTTCATTTTTATCGTTAAATTATTTAATTATTTCATGATGGACTTCTTAGGTTTCTATTCGATCTTAGCACATCAGCCTTTTCCAACTTTATGATCTAACAAATTAGTGAGCAGTGTCATTTTTTGATGATGTGTCATGTAGTACGTGGCTAAATGATTTTGAAATAAATCAAGAAATGTAACTTGATAATTTAAAATTACAAATTACAATCGTATTGATTGCATTACGTAACAGAATAATTTGAATTGAATTAGTGTCCGGCCCATGCCGGGTTGCATAATCATTAATTGATAAATATAATGTTTCGTTCATTTACTCTAACAAATATCGTTGTGGATTTTTTTTTGTGTCCCAACTTGTAAAACTGGTCATCAGTTTTACTATAGGTACCGTTTTGTAACGACACTTTAATGTTAAATTGTAACGTTATTTGATGCGTTAATCGAACTCGATCGTTTGTTTGCGTTGCAGAAAGGCCACCAGAAATATCGTGGACGCTTGGCTGGTGTCGCACGCTTCGGCCAGCAGCTGCGGTGCCGGAAACTCGGCGGCCACGCCGACCGGCAACGAGCGGCCGTCTTCGGTGGGCGCTTCCGGCGGTGCTGGAGTCGGCGGTAGCGGCACCACCACGCCGGTCCGGAAGATATCCGCACACGAGTTCGAGCGCGGCGGCCTCAAGCCCATGGTGACCACGGTCGACGGCACGCCCACGTTTCTGGCGTATGACCATCCTGACGAGACGACCACGGCGCCGGTGGCCAGGAGGCGTTCACGGCACGAGCTCCGCCAACTCGACGAGAAGCAGCTTATCTTCGAACTGGTAAGTGCAACGAACGCGCCCGGGTTGCGCCACGATGACCTTCGAAAGCTGAAAGATCGGTTGTGCTACGGCGACGGTGCGCGCTGTTCGTTTGGCGTAGACGACTCGCCGTAGTGCACATACACAAACAGTCATTGATTGGATATCATTGAGACCTTATGGACAAGCGGGTTAATTAATGCCCCGCCGTCATCGGGTAATATCGTGCAAATCAATTACCGGTCGGTGTATGTACGGGAACGCCGTCTGCATTCTAATCCGCGTCCCGGCACACGGTAGTCCGGCATGCAGTAATAACGTTATGTTATATAAAATATGATTATTAACGCGAACCCCGGTTAATATTTCGTATACGTTTTTCACTGTCCGGCCGCACGTGCGTTAATGACTTTCATTTATGTTTGTCGTGTACAGGTGAAAGACATTTGCAACGAATTGGACGTGCGGTCGCTGTGCCACAAGATCTTGCAGAACGTCAGCACACTGCTGAACGCCGACAGGGGATCGTTGTTCCTGGTGCAGGGCGGCGGGCTCTCTGCGTGCCAGCACGACCATCACAGACCAATACCGACGGTCAAGCGTGTGTGCAGTCCCCGGAAGCCGCACGCCAGTATCACGGTCGGATGTCTGAGCAAAGACGACCATTCCGTGGCCACCGCCGCCGCCGTTACCGCCACCGCCTCGGACGACGAAGTGGCAGCCGGCGAACAGCAGCGCCAACGTCACCATTCTCATCACGATCATGTTCCTCAACAACAGTCCATCCAACCGGCCGAAGAAGCTGTGGTCGGCGCCCTGATCGTCGGATCTCCCATCGGTGAGTTTTCTGTGGCTGTCTAATTAAAGTGGGGGATTTTCAGGTGAAAATCATGACCGCTATAAGAGATAGCCTCTTTTTATGGAATTTATTACTTTTTGGGCATGTTCAAATAGCAGATAATAAAATACAGTATTATCTTATCCGAAAGAAAAATCGAATCGTTTGACTAAATGCGACCTTGGCCCAAAGTCTACTTTTGATTTGTTTACGCTGTTGAGTTAGGCATAAACATAACATTAATCTTTTATTTGGTGTCAATACCATTGTTAGTAATATCTGTATAGAATAGTATGCACTTCTCCATTTATCCTGTCAACTCATGTTTTTACTCGGTAGAATTACACTTGTGCCGGTCGTCTACTCAATAGAAATTTAACGGCGGTAGTAATAAAATGACGGGTTACCTGTAACATACCTAATTAAACTATTAATAATGTTTTTGAACTAGTAATGACATTGATTTATGGTATACTGTAGATATGTTTATAATATAGACTACACATTTGATGTATTTTCTTCCCCTTCGATAGCGTTTAAACTCATAATGTAAATGAACCAAACCGATACACGTTTTGAACGGTACCAAAGCTGGGGGCTATATTTTTAACACTGGTTACGGATGACGTTTGGTTTTGATTACTAATTATTATTATTATTATTATTGTTCTACTCAGGCTCCACCAACGTGGGTTCGTTGGCGCCGAAGCCCGTGGTCGCCCAGCCGTCGCATTACCAGGGTTGTCAGTCCAAGTGTTTGGTGTCCAAACTTTTTGACGTATGCTCTCGGTCCACGCTTCAGGAAATGGAGAAGAAAAAAGAGATTCACATACCGTGGGGTACGGGCATCGTGGGGTACGTGGCCGAAAGCGGAGAGCCTGTCAACATACCCGACGCGTACAAGGTAAATTGAAAAAAAAAAATCGTATACAACATTAATGTCGTCTAGCACTTTTTTTTGTTTGTGTCTACTGTGATTTTGAAGCCAATGTCAGTTGAGAAAATTCCTACGGAAAGAGAGAGTACAGCGTGTGTGCATTAGAGACGAGGAAAAAATAAACAACAAATAAGACCTTCTCGATTCTTAACAGTTGTGTAATATTTTCGCAAAGATCGTATTCTCTACAACTTTGCTTGTTTATCATTTCGTGTAGTTATTTGTTTGACCAGAAGAACCGGTTTTGAGTCAATGCTTGTGTTGCCATTGTTCGTGTGTATACATTTGCGTCGAGCTTTATTCTTTGGCCTTTGTTGGTCGTTTCGACTTGCTTTAATACACACGAGAGGGGCTATCGTCTTGTATACCGCGAGAGGTTGGTAGGTTTACAACTAGGTATGCGCTATTCTTCTTAAATTTGTGGTTTTAGCATGTTATACATAGGCACCTATCTCTCATCTTCATCACTTGCCTGCTAATTTCGAGGTTTTTCTACTAGTTGTCAAGCAACAAGATAAGAACAATGCATTTATTATAGTTCATAGTTTTGCACACGTCATACGTTTGCAACGTGGTGTAATGGAGTGTATGTAAAGTTACATTTACTATGACAAAATGGATTCTATTCGAGTTAAGAATAATCAGTCGGTCGAACATGATCGGCACATCGATGATACTTTGATACTAATGTACCCACCTCTGATTAGAATAACGTTATGATTAAGAAAGAGAGAAGGAAAACAAAAATCCGCAGATAAACTCGTTGACCTCTTTCGGGTCAAGGCGTTGTGGCTTCTGCAAGATTGCACAGATTTCAAGGCTTCCACAGACACACATGCTCGTGTCGTGTGCAAATTATTATTGTGTTGTACTCACAATTGTGTGTATTCGTTTTCAGGACACGCGCTTCAACCACGACATAGATGCTCGTACCGGATACAAAACACACAGTTTGCTGTGCATGCCGATCAAAGACTTCAACGGCGAAGTGATGGGAGTGGCGCAAGTGAGTACAGGATTATTTCGACGATCGGCACACGGTTATTGAACATGGACGGTTTTTGTTTTTCAGGTGATCAACAAGAAAAACGCACCGTGCTTTACAGTAAACGACGAGAAAGTCTTCGCCGACTACTTGCAATTTTGCGGCATAGGTCTCAGAAACGCGCAGCTCTACGAAAAGAGTCAGTTGGAAGTGAAAAGAAATCAGGTGCGACTTCCAAATAGCTTTGACCTAGTCTCCGACGGTTACGGAGAGGACCCCCCCAAACCTTAAAGTTATTTATACTGATTGTTTTTTTTTTTTTTTTTTTTTAATCCAGGTTCTGTTAGATCTCGCCCGTATGATATTCGAAGAACAAAGCACGATCGAACATATGGTTTTCAGAATCCTCACCCACACCCAATCGCTGATCCAATGTCAAAGGGTACAGGTAATAGTGGCGCAGTCGTTTTAATGTCGGTCGTTGTTCTACATGTCTTTGTGTTTTTTTTAACGTTGCGCAGGTTTTGTTGCTGCACGAGGCGTCCAAAGCGAGTTTCTCGCGGGTATTCGACTTAGAAGCCAACGACTTGCAGGGCAAAGACAGCGAGCGGACCAGGTAAAGTGCAGCCGGTGTCATTGGGTTTCTTACTTCTTTGCGTCTCTCCGACGGGAGACAAAGAGAAAGATCAATGAACGCGCGTGTTGGGCGTTCAAACGATTTATTCCTAGTCTCATTTTATCGCCTAGGTAAGCCCCTATTAACAGTGCCCGTCATTTTTTAGCCCTTTCGAGAGCAGATTTCCAGTGAACGTCGGCATAACCGGTTACGTGGCCACCACCGGAGAGGTAAGCAAGAAACGATCCAAAACCCGTTAATATATAATCGCGCGTGGTTCTTAACAATATCATCCCCGTCGTTTTGCAGACGCTCAACATTGCCAACGCGTACGATGACCCTCGTTTCGACAAATCGGTGGACCAGGGCGCCGGGTTCAAACACTCCACCGTGCTGTGCATGCCCATCAAAAACTCTTCGGGCCAAATCATCGGCGTCATACAGCTGGTGAACAAGTTCGACGATCTCGTGTTCACCAAGAACGACGAGAACTTTGTGGAAGCGTTCGCCATATTCTGCGGCATGGGCATACACAACACGCACATGTAAGTAGTATAGCCGGTCGACCGGCAGCGCGGCACTGATGAGCTCATCTTGGTTTATATCGGTTCGCAGGTTTGAGAAAGCCATTATAGCCAATGCCAAACAAAACGTCACGTTGGACGTGCTCAGTTATCACGCGTCCGCGTCGTTGGAAGACGCGCAGAGACTTAGGGTAAGTACTGTCCAAACGGAGGTGTGTAAAATAAGCGAGACTGTATTTTGGGTTTTTCGTTTGTCCAGGCCCTGCAAGTGCCGTCGGCAGTCACGTACAACCTGTACGATTTTTCATTCGACGACATTCGCATGACCGACGACGACACGCTACTGGTAAGTAGTAGACACTTATTTTGGGCCGTAGCCTTTAAACGGGTAACTCGGGTATGACGTGCCGTGGTTTTGTCGGTAGGCGTGCGTTAGAATGTTCCTAGACATGGACTTTGTGGAAAGATTTCACATCGACTACCAAGTGATGTGCAGGTGGCTTTTGAGCGTCAAGAAGAACTACCGGTCGGTCACGTACCACAACTGGAGGCACGCGTTCAACGTGGCCCAAATGATGTTCTCCATAATCACGGTAAGGGTTCGTAACTAGTAATATTGAAACCCAAACACGACGGTTGACCACGAACGCGTGTGTGTTGATTACAGGCGACTCAATGGTGGAAAGTGTTTGGCGACCTGGAATGTCTGGCGCTGATCATCGCCTGTCTGTGTCACGATTTGGACCACCGAGGGACGAACAACTCGTTCCAGATAAAGTGAGTGATCGAAAAGTCTTTTACCCCCAACCTGCGTTGGCCGCGCGAGTGTAAGTCCTCTCGGACTAACGATGCGTTCGTTTTGCAGAGTGTGTTCGCCGCTCGCCCAGCTCTACTCCACGTCGACCATGGAACACCATCATTTCGACCAGTGTCTAATGATCTTGAACAGTCAAGTATGTTGCGTTTTGCTTACTCGCGCCATTTTTACATGAGTTTTATAATGACGGTTACGGTTTCCAGGGAAATCAGATATTGGGTAACCTGTCGCCGGACGAGTACACCCGCATCATTCAAGTATTAGAAGACGCCATTCTAGCCACCGACCTGGCCGTGTATTTCAGGTACCTATTGTACTCGTTGGCGCCGCGATCGAATACCCGATCGGTGAAATAATAATTGTAATAATAGTCGGCATTAATGTTATTGTTGGTGTGCGCAGGAAACGAGGTACGTTCCTGGAGTTAGTCCGCACGGGCATGTACGATTGGACCCGGGAAGAAGACCGGGAGTTGTTGAGGGCGATGCTGATGACGGTTTGCGATTTGGCGGCCATCACCAAGCCGTGGGACATCGAGAAGCGGGTAAGTCGTCGGTCTTCGTTTGGCAACGTCTGCGGGTTTTGACTTTGCCTCTTGCTTTTGCAGGTAGCCGAACTGGTGACCAACGAGTTTTTCGAACAAGGCGACATCGAGAGGAGAAATTTCAACATAACCCCCATCGTGAGTGTTTACCAAAAAACCAAACCCCTATTAATAGGCAACGGCCTGTTGGTAATGTTGTAATGTTTTGCAGGACATCATGAACCGAGAGAAAGAAGATCAGCTGCCGATGATGCAGGTCGGGTTCATTGACTCCATCTGCTTGCCTATATACCAGGTGAGTCGTCGATAACACGAATAGACAATCGTCGAAAGGTCATACGATTATTGCATTATAAACGTCGGGGTGTTTCGTTTAGGATTCGGACTTTTCTATTCTAATAAAATATAAAAACGAAAAAAACTGTCACCGAAAATGGTATTCGGACCCAGTTTTCGAGATCGTTTAATATTGTACGTTTTTAATTTGTTATGTTAAACGTTGGTATTTTTTTTTTTTTTACATTTTTAACTAATTTTGTAAAATGATTTCGTCGAGTTTTGAAAAATATTGAAGAGTTGTATTAGCAATAAATGTCTGTAATAGATTTTAACACACCGCGTTCAAATTTGTACTGCTAACACTGTAGTTTGGCGATTGACGATTTTCAATCGCGTGGCAAAAACGTTGTTGGTCAATGTAATTATTACATTAAACAAATAATTATTTAAATAATTGCTCAAACCTTTGAAGTTTATTGAAACGTATCTTGTCGATAAAACTCGTTCGAACCGTTATCAGTAATCAGCAGCCATCACTTCCGGTGGCGATGACGTTACAAGTAAATAGCCACAATATTGTAAACATGGAACATGTTATTCGCTGTTCGACCGGTCAGTGTGCGATAGGGCTCCGACGTCGGCGGCGATAATACATCATTGCCAATACATAATATCATATCAATATAATAACCCATAATAATGTAATGCTAAATTAAAAAAAAAAAAAAATCGTCAGGTCTCTGGGAATTAATTATTGGTCACAAACACCTGTATGATTTATTCGTTATTATTATAAATTATTACGTATACCTAATACTATTTTCTTGTAATTCAGGCTATAGCTGACTTGTCGGAAAAACTAGAACCGCTGATCGAAGGAGTCCGGCAGAACAAAATCCACTGGCTCGAAGAATCCAAACAGACCTATCATCCCCAGAGTCACAAGTAGACGAACGTTAGGTTTTTTTTTTTTATACTAGTGGAACGCGTGCGTGTGTGTGTGTGTGTGTGTGTGTAAAGTATTTGCGCAAACGAGTTAGATTGCACTAATAGAGCGACTGCTGATAATAATAATAATAATTATAATATGTGAATTAGAAGAAAAGCAAATTTCTGCATAACCAATCTACCTAACTTCCTTCTCTCATTACATTTATAAGGTTATAAAAAAAAAAAAAAAACGATATATATTTACATAAATAGATTGTAAAAGAATATAAATGATATATTGAAAACAACAACATAAAATATAATATTGTTGTTGTTGTTTTTTTTATTATTATTAATATATAATACGATGAATATGTTTTTTATTATTCTCTTTTAATTCGTGTTTAATATTATATAAACAAAATAGTATTTCCCCTGTGTTATAGACCTGTGTATAAAAACGTACAATTACTTTCGTTGTTAAGAGTGACATCCTTGTTTTGTTCTTGTATTTTGTACCACCTACCTGTGTGTATATATTATTACCTTTTATATAATTATACATAATAGTTATCGGTATATTGTTGTGTACGATCACGTTTATAATATTATTTATCGATATTATATTGTAATGTATTTTTAGGCCCATACCAATGCAATGGTTTGTATTCAACCAACGCCCGTCATGAGGCAAAACAATGAAAACGTTTACTAAGCTTTATTTATTATGTGTACCAATATTATTACATGCGAATAAGTTGTGTTTTTTTTTTTATTTAAATTATTATTTTATTACGTTACGGCAATAAAATTAATAACATACTATAATGAACATATCAGCGCACTTGTCTATTGTTTAACCTCAAAACATATTTTTCTTTACCATCCGATTCCTAGTCGGTAATTTTTTAACGAACAGCATCGTCGAAAAGGTCAAGATATTATGCTTATTCAATTAATTAATTAGGTTACAACCAGAACTGTAATTAGATATAATATTTGAAAGCAGTATCATAGTATAAAATACAATATTGACAATATATTATCACTGTCTTAACATGTACTCCTAGTCTCAATGACACGAATATACAATATAGGATTTGTTTTTAAAACTGAAAAAATGTGTGTATTATATATTCTTATGATAATATGTCACATAATTAGGTTTTTAATAGTTTCAAGTTAAAAAAAAACAGCTCATTTTAACGAGTAGACGATGTCTGGTTATATTTTTGATTTTGTATTGAAATTATTAAACACATAAACGACCCTGAAACGTTCCCAGGAGTACTTAATCTTTCATGATGTGTTATTGTATAAAAATAGAAAAATATCAACACATAAGTGACTATTATACAAGAAAGTTAACGCATAAAAATATTATATTAAATTCTTGTTTCGATATTGCGCCAAGTGGTGAAATTATTGTAATGTAATGAGGCAAAGGAAGATGCAATATTTTTAAACAAAGTAGTCAAGAAGTGAAGGTAAATTTCAAGCATTAAATCATAAGACGTTCATGTGTTGAAAACAGAGGTGAGCATTAGTCGACTGAACAAATAAAAGAGTATTCAAATATAAACCCACTATTTTTGTTAATGTTACTTGAACATTATCAAATACAAGTGATATGTATTTGAATAAAGTAATATATTAAGATTTCAGTTAATACGTTATCAGATTTACTTTAGTTGTTATTTGTTATTCAAGTACGTTTTGATAATTAAATTTACATTGGCAGTTCACACAGCTTTCAAATGGTATTTTTTTTTAATAATAATACTTTTAGAAGTGTTTACACGTTAAATCTGTCACGGCCACTTCATGATAGTGACCTGGTATAAAGGTTCAAAAAACCCACGGGCTTTAAAAAAGTACCAGCCCGGTTGGGTTTTCATGGGTTTAAATTAATTTAATGAGCAATTGGGTTTTTTTTTACTTATTTAATAGCAATAATATAATCTAGACAAAATGGCTGTCCATTGATTTTATACATTTATTAATGCGAAATTATACAAATGTAATAATTATAGAAAAAACTTCAAAAAGTATAACAACATATATACGAGTATTTTATCATAAAATATGTCGTCATATTATTATTTTAAAGTGTAAAGTAAGTATTGCAATAGTCTCTACTTTAAATACAGTATATTCAAAAATGGTTTGTGAATAATAATTTTGACGATAAACAGAATTCGTTTCGGTTTTGGTAGTGGTAAACTGATGTCTGCGGGAATCAATTTCTATAAGAATTGTTATTTGTCTCCTGTCGCGAGGGAACAAATCGAATTAGATGCTTTCGGTGCACTGCTGGTATTATTTTGTTCGACTAATCAGATTAAACATAACGGCACAAATTATGTAAAGCATCATAAAGAAATTTAGTTCAAAGTCCCTTTTATAAAAAAAAAACATATCATAATAAAATAACATAATCTCGTTAATTAATTTCGGAGCCACAATTAAAGTCATATTTTAACTATTGTTTTGTCAGGTTCACTCGTTCGGCGACAAAAGAATTCTATTAGTTTGCACAACAACTATATTGGACGAATCTTTGTATTTAATGTACTTGAAGCATAGCTATTCGCTTACTTAGGTATTGTCTTTTGCGCTTGAATTTCGGTTATTATTTATTTTTCGTGTCGAGGAACATTATTGAATTCTAAAATAATAAATATGATAATAATAATTATTATTTACACATTTGTGTCTTATCCTCGAGCTGGGCATTTTGTTTGTTTATTAAAAACACGATTATCATGTAAGCAAACAGAAATGTCCAATATAAATATTTTATTGTGCTATATCATATACGTATTTAAATTACTTAAGTAAATCAAATGTTTTAAAAAACAAATTTGTTTTCTATTACTTTAAGAAAGTAACACGATATTCAAAAACAAAACTTATTGTAGATTTCCAAAGTACCAGAAAGTATTATTTTATTTATTTAGTATGTATATTTACAGGCGTTACACTACAATTTTTCGGAGAGCAAATTCATTGATGTATGTTTGTTGCATAATCAGTACTCCTTATATTCGAACTCTGGTTATACCTCGCAAATCATAGAAATAGCATAACGCGTGATTGGAATGTAAATTAATATTGTGTAGGAAATACAATTATTATATTGGTTGATCGGAGTGTGTACGATGATAATAAGAGTGTAGTGGCCATCTGAAGTCAATTGATCTGCATGCTTTGTAGTCCGCATGTGGCATTCAAAGGTTTTTCATAGATACTCGAGCTGGCTATTTGCAAAATAAGTGTGTTCATGTGGTGTTATTCTTCTTATTTCGTACATACATTAGACGGTGGTGGTGGATAAATATGCATAGTATTATATATTTATAATTTTAGTTACCCGACCTGCGTTCCGCCTCCAAGTCCAACCGTTCAAGCCAGTAAACAATAGCACAATAGTAATTAGGTATGTGTGTGATCATCCCTTTGAGTTGGTATATTATAGGGTTTACTAATAGAGTCTTGCAATAAAACAGTGACCACGTCCGGTGATCATGGTAAAAACAATAACTAAACAAAATCGTACCGTTCCCCTCGGCGGATATATCATGTGATAAGACGTTGACGCCGGCGATGACAGTGCGAATATTCCCTCGTTTATCTCTGCGTTTCAATGACGCGTGCTTGTCTATTGTGATGGTTAACATAAAACGACGGGAGCTCATTGTCGTCAATGCCTGTGTGTGTGTGTGTGTTGTGCAGTTTGGATCAAAACCGATATCAATACAAGTACATTCGCGGTTAAACGACCCCCAAGTGACGGTTTGACGTCAACTGCGTCTATATAGAGACGACTTATAAGTTATTTTCAAAAAAATTATCAATTTTTTCAAAATTCAACGTCGTATCAAAAATGTTTAATTTAAAACAACTAGATGCATAAAACAACTTCGTGGATATGTTTTTGCGATTATTTCTAGTACATTTCACTTATCAGTTATCTTTTATCGCATTTCACTCTTTTGTCTCTAATCTCTAATCTCTTAACTATGATCACTAATCTCGTGTCTCTTATCTCTAACCGCTTAGCGTAACGTGAAAATGGCGACATGAAATTGCTTGTATCCAGTCCAATAACTTATCCGTGTTAAAAAAAACACACAATGTCCTAATGGATTTTCTCTTTTTGTTTGCGCGAAAAAAATGATTTTGTTAATCTATCATCTGAGTGACTATTAATATTGCAGCTGCGTATTATCATGCGTTTAACATATTAAATTAACTTCATTAGCCATTATAGTAAAACTAAGCGCTTTGTGGATTATTCTCGAAAAACGGGTTTCTTAAGAGAGCGTCGCACCGCCAATTTTATAAGGAGTAAAGTATAGGCAATTTTTTCAAATCTTAATTTAAAGGTTAAACTGTGATGTGTAATTATTAGTTCAATAACTAGGACTCTATTATGGTAGTTAAATTATTTTTTTGGACTATCACAGCATCTTTTAAAGTGATTTAAAAATATTTTTTCATCTCAACTTGTTTAAGCAGACTGAAAATAACGGGCAATAACGGAAAATAACGGTTTTTTTCATCATTCTAAGTATAACGAGCAATACATAGTTTAGAAATAACGACTATTTTAACATTTTTAAATTACTGTAACTTTCCAAAAAATTAATTTTTAAAAAAAAACGCACCGTCTTGCCCTTTGGATTATTGTTTTCTTTTAATTTTATAATGGGCGCTTTTACTCTTAAACCGTTTTGGTTTTAAGCAAGTTATTTTCAGTCTGTTTAAACATGTTTTTACCACTGAAAATCACCGGTGCGACGCCCTCTTAAAATTTGTTTTCAATGTATGTCGACGCGTATTTAATAGTTGCTTAATTTTTTGGATAAATTCAAATCAACCAATTAGTTTTACATTTTAAAATATATTTGTTAACATCTTAACAGTAACAACTATTTATTTTTTCTATTCCAATAGGGCGTATAAAAACAATTAATAAATTGTTACAGAAAAAACACGGGAATATTTTTTATCTTTTTCTATTGCTATTCTTTTCTAGCTTTTATCTAGTCATCTGTGGTGGTAGTTAACAAATTGGAAAAATCTGTCGCTCTAGAAAGTCATTTTTATTTACTGTAATGTCCATAAGTCATATTAAGAACGTTTTAATTTATACCCTAAAATTAATATAGAAATTTAACTACGTATTAACTAATTTTATTGAAGTTTATTTAACTATTTTGTCAAACAATGTTAGCCAAATAATTCTTTTATAAATAGCTGCAATTAAAATGATTGGAATGGTACCTAAAGGACCTCGCATTCTAAATATCTAAAAAGGCTCCAAAATACTTTTTACCTATCAGCTTAGACCGTCGGATGTCATTATCAGAAAACTTAAGACTGTTTTTACACCTAGGTATATAATATATATTTATGATTTATACATTTAGGATAATCAAATTAATTAAGATTGGACGGTTAAAATATGTTTTTCCTTTAAAACTATATTGTATAATATTATAATATTTGATATGAATGAGAATAAAGTCAAATTATTTCTTCAAAATGGGATACAGTTAGACAACATTATCGATTATTGGCGCAAGACGTTCCACGATCAAAGTCAAACGACGTGTGGTGTGGACTAGATCAAAACTGTAACATCTTGACGCCGTGCGTTGAACTCTGTAACCAAGACACAGTCGCGTCACCTTCATTATATTGAATGTATGGCCCGATAACGGCGTGTGTACTCTTACTCTCCCGGATGTGTCCAAGAACATAGAGTTTTATAATATTTATAAAAAAAAAAACTATTTATATATGTA